ATAAGAGGGGGAGGACAAAGGGACTTAAAAGGCAGTAAGGACTTTTACATTTTACTCAAATTGGTAAAATTGATAAACAAAATGTGGTATATATGCAAATGGAATATTATTCATCCATAAAAAGGAATAAAGTACTGATGAATGTTAGAACATGGATAAATGAACCTTGAAAACATTATGCTAAGTGAAAGAAGCCAGATACAAAAGGCCATATGGTATATGATTCCATTTATATAAAATGTCTAGAATACACCAATCTACACAGATGAAAAGTAAATTTGTGGTTGCTTAGGGATGGGGGGAGGGAAGTAGATTGAGGAGTGGGCATGGGAGTTCTATTTGGGGTGATAAAAATGTTCTAAAATTAGATTGTGGTGATGTTTGCATAACTTCTGAATATATGAAAAACCATTGCATTGTATACTTCAAATGTTTGAATCTTATGATATATGAATTATATCTCAATAAAGTTGTTTTTAAAAACAGATGATTTAAATGTAAAACATAAAACTTTTAAAATAAAATATAGGGGAAAGTCTTTGGGAACTAGGGCTTGTGAAGAATTCTTTGACGTGGCACCAAAAGCATGATTCAAAAAATTTTAAGAAGTATACTAGACTTCAAAATTAAAAGTGTTTGCTCTACGAAAGATCCTGTTAAGAGGACAAAAAGACAAGCTATAGACTGGGAAAAAAGATTCGCAAACCACACATCTGACAAAGAACTCACACATACAGTATGTAAAGAACTCTCAAAACTCAACAGTTAAAAAAGCAAACAATCCATTAGGAAAATGAGCAAAGAATGTGAAGACATTTCACTAAAAAGGATATACAGATGACAAATAAGCACATGACAAGATGTCTATAACATTAGCTATTGGGGAAATACAGACTCACCTGGGCCTCAATCATTTCTTGCTCTTCTTGGGAAAAAGCAAAGACAGAGATACGTAAGTCAGAGCAGGGGGAGGTATGGGGGTAGGAAGTTAGATGGGAGGGAGAGAAGATACAAATGGAGATATGAGAGACAGAGTCCATTTCATATCTCAGGCTGAGGCTAGACACAGGTTGACTGTGTCTCTTGTATCTTCCTGAAGCACCAGCCTGAAAACAGCCACCCATAAGCCAGGTAAGAGGTCACCAGTGGAAACTAGGGAGGCCACGTGGTTATAGCCCCAACATATAGCCCCAATGGTGACTGACATTGTGTCGAGTTGGAATTGGCAAACCTTTTCTGTAAAAGGCCAGATAGTAAATACCTTAGGATTTCCAGGCCTTATGGTCTCTTTGGCAACTACTCAACTCTGCCATTGTGGTGTGAAAGCAGTCACAGACAATACGCAAATGAGTGAATGAATGCATGGCTGTGTTCCAATAAAACTTTATTACTGGACACTGAAATGTGAATTTCACATAAGTTTCATATGTCACAAAATATTTTTTCTTCTTTTTACTTTTTTTAAGCACTTAAAAAATGTGAATAGTATTCCTAGCTCACAGGCCATAAGAAAACACCAAGGGTCAGCAAACCAGGGGCCATAACTTGCTGATCCCTGATGTAGAGCTTAGATGAGGAGGTTTGTTATCGGGAGCATGTGTACAATTCTCACTTAATACTTGATCTACAATACAGTGAATTCCCTTAGATCCATAAATTCTACTTCTAGGAATTTATCACAAGGAAATAATCATGGTTGTGCATAAAAATTTGAAAGCAAAGACTGTTATCCCATCCTGGATTATAACAATGAAAAAAAACTGGACATATTTAAACATCCAATAACATAGGAGTGGCTCAAAAAATCTGACTCCATCCAAAGGATGGAATGCTATGCATCCATGTCAACAACTATCCCATGGTCTGGCAAGAGAGAAGGCAAATGTGGTCAAATATTAATAATTGGTGAATCTAAGTGCAGGATATATGGGTGTTCACTGTCAACTTTTCTGTACGTTTGAAATATAAAGTTAGAAATATATTTTTAAAAGTAAAAATTTTTTGTGAAATGTAAGTTAATAACTTGCACAGATCTGCCTCTAGCCCATCAGAACTATGTTCTTCCTGTTAAACAAAGATAAGTGTTTTCTCTCTTTTCACAGGAAAATGGTATAGATTAACTAGGTAATATTTATCTAACTACCTAGTGTCTGTTTCAATCACACTAAATGCAATTTTAACTATATGTATCATGAGATTTATGAAAATATGTTTTTAAAAAATCAACGTTTCCTTTACAATCATCTTGTTCTAAGGGCAAAGAAAAGCTTAACTTGCTTTAGTTTTGAGCGTTTAAAAAAAAAAAAAAAACTTGCTTTCAGGGGCCAGGGCCAGGTGCAGTGGCTTATGCCCATAATCCTGGCCCTTCAGGAGGCCAAGGTGGAGGATGCTTGAGTTTGAGACCAGCCTGGACAACATACTTGTTTTTTTTCTCAACAAAAAATTAAAAATTAGCCAGGCATAGTGGTGCTGACCTATAATCCTAGCTACTTCAGAGGCTGAGGCAAGAGGACTGCTTGAGCCCAGGAGTTCCAGGATACAGTGAGCTATGATTGTACCACTACACTCCAGCCTGGGCAACAGAGTGAGACCCTGTCTCTTAAAAAAAAAAAAAAAGCCTGCTTTTACACATGAAACACACAAGTCATCTGGGAAGACTTCCCCGGTAGGGGTAGATGCTCTCTAGGCTTTACAAGTGGAAACTGCATTTGGAGGATCCCGGTGTCTGGGTTCTCCTCCAGTCTCAGGCCTGGACTTGCTGGGTTAGATGCTCTTGTTTGAAAGTCTAACATGGGAAATAAATTCACTCAGTCACTCAAGTGCATAAAAATAAATTCACAAAAAAGCTTACACATTTAAATAAAAACATAGGAATTATTCCTAACTACAGGATAGCCAATCTTTGGCAGAAGACTTCGGGGAGGCTCTATTTGACTATTAAATTAGGTGATTAAACAACAGCGCCCTGTCTGTCAATCTCCGCTTGAGCCCCAGTTATACATTGCGGGCCACAGAGCTGGAGTCATCAAAGAATTTTAGAAAATCTGTCTCCGTTTAAAAATGTTTAAATGCTCACATCATTCCCATTACCAAGAGTGAAATACAAACCTCCCGTGTGAAAAATCAATATTTAGGCAGACAGATCACACGGGATATACTCCCTTCCTCACAGACCAGAACCGTAATCAATTCTTGCCCGTCTGCTTCTAAGGCCCTACCTTTTAAATACTCTATCTCTACCTGTGGGTCTCGCCTGCCCCAGAACCCGCCAAATCCCATTAAACCCCACCCCCACTAGCCATGCACAGCCCTCATAGGCTCTGCGCGCCGCTTTCGCAGTCCCCCATTGGCTGTTTATTGCCAGGTAGTCCCTGCTCCTACACGCCGCTGTCTTCCGCGATCTCCTGGGATTCCGAAAAGCCACGCCCTTCTCTTCTCCCCTTTGGCCCGTCTTCTTTCATTCAGGATTGCCCCTCCCCACCTGGCTATTTGGTTGGCCAGAGCGCTTGCTACTACGTCATTCACCCGCGCCACCCGGAAGCCCCAATTCATACCAACCGTTCATTTTGCCGGCGGCCCTGAGGTAAGGGCCGCGTTTTGGGTGTCCCTGGGTGGCCAGGTCCCCGAGTTGGGAGGGGCGGAAAGCTGAACCCCCATCATGAGCCGGATGAGCCCATTTCCAGCGTTGAGAAGGTGGAGATGAACTGTGCATGAGGCCAAACTGGAGTGGTCAACGTGGTCTTCCCCTTCCCCACTCCCCAGGAGCCCATGATGGCGACGCCCCCTAAACGGCGGGCGGTGGAGGCCACGGGAGAGAAAGTGCTGCGCTACGAGACCTTCATAAGTGATGTGCTGCAGCGGGACTTGCGGTGAGTGACAGCGCAGGGGGCGGGACGTTTGGAACATTCACGTGGTGGGTGGAGTGTTCGGAGTCAGGGCCAAACCTCCGGATTGGTAGGCGAGTTGGGAGTCCAGCCCAGCGTTCGAGCGTGAAGTTGCGGGCGGGAGGCAATATCCGCCGTGCGATTTGGCTGAGACGTGGCACTGGTAGCAGAGGATGTGTCCGCGCATGCGCGGCCTAGATGGTTAACGGAGTAGAGCTAGATTTCTAAAGCTCTGGTTTTTGGGTTCACATCCTGCCTCGGCCACTTCGCCATCCTTGTGAACACGTTGTACCTCGCCTCGCCTTTCTGTGCTGTATAAACTTATCTGTGAGATGGGGAAGTTTATGGAACCTTCCTCATGCGGTGGTTTTGAGTTTTCAACGTGTTCAATTTAGCATGTAAAGAATTTAGCATGGATGCCTGAAACATACTAGAGGCTCAATGAGTATGAAGAGCTATTATTATTATCATTATTAAAGCAGAAAGTAAGGTGTTCAGAACTAAGACTGTTCTAAAAGGGATAGAAGATTTTTCTGGGGTGAGGATGAAACATTCTGATTGGAGGGAGGCATTGGGAGTAGAGTGTAATAATAGTAATAAACAATAACTAACATGTATATAGAGAGCTTACCATTTGGCAGGCATTATTCTAAGTGCTTTGTAGTAAGTATTTATATAATCCTAAGGACTCTACGAGGTAATATTGTCATTCCTATTTTATAGTTGGGGAAACTGAGTCCCAAAGAGGTTACTTACTTGCCAAAGTCACACAGCTAGTAAAGGGTAGAGCCCAGATTCAAATCCAGGCAGTCTGACCTGGAGTCCAAAGTTTTAACTTCTGTACTGACATGCCTTTTTAGGGCATGATGATGTGAGGGTCTCAGAGGGTCATGATATGAGGTATCCCAGGAGGAACAGGGCTGCCTATTGGTCACCATTGTACTTTCGTCCCATCAGAAAGGTGCTGGACCATCGAGACAAGGTATATGAGCAGCTGGCCAAATACCTTCAACTGAGAAATGTCATTGAGCAACTCCAGGTAAAGACTTCAGGGTTGGGTACCTTTTTTGTGTGGGCAAGGGTGGGAGATGGGAATAGACCCCAGACCAAAACCTGTCACCTGACCTAAAAGTTGACCACTGACGACCCCCTACCTCTTTTTCCCTGGCCCCACAGGAAGCTAAGCACTCGGAGTTATATATGCAGGTGGATTTGGGCTGTAACTTCTTCGTTGACACAGTGGTGTGAGTGTCTACCCACCCCTCTGAGCCCATAGGGTTCAGCTTCCCCCTTCCTTCATGCAACAAATATTTTTTTTAGTATCTCTTATGTACGAGATACATATCCCAGTAGGATTTATAAGCTAAGTGCTGGGGATATGACAGTGAATAAAATAGGACAAAATCCCTGCCCTCCCAGAGCCTTAATTTGGGGAAGGGGGGGTTGTAAAAAAAAGTCTTAAACTGTATGGTATGCTAAACAGTGATAAGGACTATCCCCACTTCCTCTAACCTCTCTTTCCTCAGCCCAGATACTTCACGCATCTACGTGGCCCTGGGATATGGTTTTTTCCTGGAGTTGACGTTGGCAGAAGCTCTTAAGTTCATTGATCGTAAGAGCTCTCTCCTCACAGAGTAAGTCCATTCCATGAGGATAGTGTCTTAAAAACACCACCATTTTCAACACTCTTCTCCCTTCTCCCAGGGTTGCCTGGGATACTTAGAGATCCGTCTCCCCTCCTCCTCAGAGCTGGGGCTGAAGAAGTGGGGAGGCAAGACTCAGCCCCCAGTGTAGCACATAATAAGCACCCAAGTGGTCTTTGTATTGTTGATTCACACAGACATTTTGGGGGCATCTTTTGCATGCCAGGCACTGTGCTTGGTGATGGGTGTGCAGCAGTGAATAAGACAGAAGAATTCCTTGAAGGCTTAAAAACCTAGAGGGACTGTACTGTTAGACATAAATACAATTACAACCAGATCAGTGCAGTCTCATCCTGGAAATCAGTAATAATAAAACAAGTTACCTCTGACTTCATCTCCCGCCAGTTTTCCTGTCGATTCACTGTGCTCTCGCCACACTCACCTTCACATGCTTCTTTCAACACCCCAGGAATGGTCCCCCTCAGGGCAGTTGCAGTGGCTGTTCTCCCTGCAGTGCTTTTTCCCCCAGTACTCGTGTGGCTTCCTTTCTCCTCACTCATTGTCCTGCTTAAATGTCACTTCCTCAACAAGGCCTTCCGTAACCTAACTTTAAAATTGCTTCCCCCTGGCATTCTTGATTCCCTTCCTTTCTTCTACTTTTTCTTTTTTTCCCTAGCACTTATCACCCCTAATATTTACTGTGTAATTTATTTCTTTCTCATATTCATTGTCTCCTCCAGTTAGGATATAAGTTTTATCATGACACTCTGTGTTTGTTGAATGAATTTAAAATGGTATACTGGAAGAAAATTGAAGTGAATTGAAGCAGATCTATGTTGGTGGTGATGGGGAGAGAAAGTGGGCTACAGTTGAGTTGAAGGTTTTGTGCAGAGAAGGGCAATTGGGAGTGTAGATGAGGGGTTTGACATTTGAGCCATTTGATTGAGTGAACAAGCCATGGGGCTATCTGGGGAAGAGCCTTCCTGGCAGGGGAAACAGTGCCAGGCATACTAGAGAAACTGCCAAGAGAGGCGAGCATGGCACACATGGAATGAGTGTGGAGGCACTGAACAATACACTTAGACTGACATCTCACAAGTGTGAATACCACTGATCTAAACTCCCATCTTGGTTATGTTTATGTTTATTCCTACTTTCATTTCTTCCAAAATTGCCTCCCTTAAGGCTTCAGTAATTTTTCTGTCTTCAAACCTGTCCAGGGTCTCAGTGTTAGTAGACCCAAAAGAACCTCATGCCTGCTGAGATTTCTAAATTTTGGTGTACAAACCAATTAGCAAATTGTTTGATCAAAGGGCATGCTTTCATGGTCAACACAATTCTGAACTGGTGGGGATTTAGACCAAGTTCAGTTTTTAGAAGAAAGCTTTTCTTTTTTCTCTAATTTTTTATATTTTTCCCCAAAATCCATATGTTGAAAAAAAGCTTTTCTTATGTCACAGGATTCCTGGGACTTTCAAATAGATTTTAACTTTTTGAGACTGATGTCTTTCCCCAAAATGAGGTTTTTAAAAGTGCGGGTGCAGTGGCTCACGCCTGTAATTCTAGCACTCTAGGAGGCCGAGGCAGGAAGATCACTTGAGCTCAGGAGTTGGAGACCAGCCTGAGCAAGAGTGAGACCCCGTCTCTACTAAAATAGAAACAATTAGCCAGGTGTGGTGGTGTGCACCTATAGTCCCAGCTACTCAGGAGGCTGAGGCAGGAGGATCGCTTGAGCCCAGGAGTTTGAGGTTGCTATGAGCTAGGCTGACTCCACGGCACTCTACCCAGGGTGACAGAGTGAGATTGTCTCAAAACAAAAAAAAAATGTTGTCATTGCCTGCCCCCTTGCCTGGTCTTGTGGTGTATTGACCTGGTCTATTAATATGATGAAAATGCAGTTGCCTTATATTGCTTTTTTGTAATTAGTAAGACTGTCTAGAAGTTTAATCTTTCTAGGAGATGAGGATTTCAGTCTGTGTAGCTGGCTCTCCAGCTCTCCTCTTTAAAATACTTGGTTAATTGGGACACACTTTGAACTAACTTTCCAGTAGTTTTTTTTTTTAGAGACAGGGTCTCGCTCTGTCACCCAGGCTGGAGTGCAGTGGCCCGATTATGGCTTACTGTAACCTTGAATTCCTAGGCTCAAGCTATCCTCGTGCCTCAGCTTCCTGAGTAGGCCACTGCACTCCAGCCTGGCAACAGAGTAAGACTCCACCTCAAAAAAATAAATAAATAAATAAATAAAAATAAATTGTCCCTTAGGAACTGATTGGAGTTCATTCTTCTGTTCTTTGAGCACTATCCCAGAATATTCTTAAATGTATTCTTGATCTCCTGCAACACCACCACATTTCATTTATTTCCTATCCCTGGACATAGACTAAACCATATTTTGAGGACTTCCTTGGAGTGGAGTAGTCGTTCACTTATTCATTCCTACTTTGTGCCATACACTGCTGTGTTTCCTGGGGATACAGCAGGGAACAAAAAGACCAAAATCTCTGCCCTCACACAGCTGACATTCTAGTCAGCGGAGACAAACGATAAACAAGTGAATAAATAATGTAGTATGTCAGGTGTTGCCGGTGCTGTGGAGAAACAGCATATAATGGAGATCGGAAGCATTGCCTGGGGTGGAATAGTTATGATTTTAAATAGAAGGGTTGATTGGATGTAAAGTGTGAGAAAAAGAGAGGAGTCCAGGTTTTTGGCTGAGCAACTGGAAGGATGGAGTTGCCATTATCTGAGATGGAGAAGATGGGGAGGAGCAGATTGGGAGGGAAAGATCAGGAGTTTCGTCTGGAACCTGTTAAGTATGAGGAGTTTATTAAACACTGAAGTGGATTTTTCGAAGATGTAATTAAAACTCCCAAGTCAAGTTCAGGAGAGAGTTCTGGGCTAAAAATATAAATTTGGGAGTTGTTGTTATATAGATGGGTTCATGCTACTTTTTTTTCCAATTTAGCATCCTGTCTTGTTGCCATCTACTTTTCATGTAGTACTTAGTTTCATTTACCCCTCAGGCCGACTTCTACAATAACAGCTCAGCACAAAAAATCCACATTCTCTGTCATGATATCAAGACCCTGCATTATCTAGCCCCTTCCTACCTCTTGAACCTTATCTTACACCACTTTCCTTCACCATTCACTTAATTTCTAATACTTTGAGCTGACCGCTCCACAAACAGCTCTCTCTTGCCTCTTGGGCTTTTTGTGCAAAAGGCCCTCCTACTTCTTAACTCTTACTTCATTCTTCAGGGAGGCCTCCCTGGACCCTTTGTATCAATTAGGATTCTTTGGGTGAGACCTGATCCAAACTCTCTTAGACAAAAGGAATTGACTGGTTTATCTAACTAACAGGCCAGGGCCAGGGTGGATTCAGGTAACTCCAGCTTTCCATCTGTGGCATCTTCCTTGAGTCCTCTCTCTCATACCCAAATCCAACCCTTTGGTGAATCCTGTTGGCTCTGCCTTCAAAATATATCCCAAATACAGTCCTTTCTCATCACCTCACCTGCTGCCACTGTAGTCTGGGCCTCCATCTCCCTGAACTGTCACAGTAGCCTCCTCACTGGACTTGCTGCTTGCACACTGGCTCTCCTTGTTGCCAGTCACACTCCACCCAGAAGCCAGGTAGAGCCTCTTAAATCCTGTTAGGTCACCTTCCTCCTCTGCTCATGCCCCTCCTCCCCTGGCTTCATCTCACTTAGAGTCAAAGCCAGGGTCCCTTATGATGGCTTTGTAGGCTTTACACATCTGCCTCCCCCCTTACCTCTCTGACCTCACCTCTTCCAGTCCACCTTGGCTTATTCTTCTCCAGCCACGCTGGCCTCTCTGCTGTGCCTCAAACGTGCCAGGCATGCCCCCACCTCAGCACCTTTGTGTTTGCTGCCCCTTGTGTGTGGAACTCTCATCTTCCGTGTAGCCACACTACTTGCTTCTTTGCTTTAAGTCTTTACTCAAATGCTTCTCAGTGAAGCCATCCCTGAGCACTCTGTTTAAAATCACAGCCCCCATTCCCATACTCCTTATCCTCCCTCATTGTTTTAATTTTTTTCATTGTACAGTTGACCCTTGAACAGCATGGATTTGAACTGCATGGGTCCACTCATACGTGGATTTTTTTCAACCAAATTTGGATAGAAAATACAGTATTTGTAGGATGTGAGGATGTGAAACCCTCATATATGAAAGGCCAACTGCCAGACTTGAATATGCATGGATTTTGGTGTACACAAGGGTCCTGGAACCAATCCCCTGTGTATACCGAGGGACGACTGTACTTACTACCATCTGACATACCATATCTTTTACTCCATCATCTTTTTTTTGTCTGTCTCTTAACAAGAATTCGAGTTCCATGAGGCTTAGATTTTTGTTATGCTTGCTGCTATCTCCCCAGTGCCTAAAACTGCCTGGCATATGGTAGGCAATCAGTAATCTTTGAAGCAGTGAAGTCCAGGAAGTGGCTAGGCATCTCTGCACATGAGCAAGTGGGTGGAGGTCTTCCAGGATATAGGTAGTTATTGAAGTGATGAGGAAGGGTCATCCTCGTAATCATAAGTGGGGCCCACTTTGCCCTTTCTTGTTTCTTTTCTACAGGCTCAGCGACAGCCTCACCAAGGACTCCATGAATATCAAAGCCCATATCCACATGTTGCTAGAGGTGAGAGCAGCTCACCCTACTCCCAGATTCTGTGTTTAGGGTGATGACCTGAAAAGGGGAGACAGCCAAAGAAGGGAAGAACTATCTTTCCCTCTAAACTGGAGCCAAGGGAAGGGAGGTCAGAGCAAGCCTCGGGCATGGCTTGGACCCAGTCTTTGTTCAGTCTCTTCTGTCTTCTTTTTCAGGGGCTTAGAGAACTACAAGGCCTGCAGAATTTCCCAGAGAAGCCTCACCATTGACTTCTTCCCTCCATTCTCCAACATTAAAGAGCCTGAATGCCTTTGAGTCATATGGCCCTTCTTTTCCCCTATAATCCCTGCTGATTGGCCAGGTGCCCTGTTTCTAGAGCACAAAGTTACTGGGAGACTCAGAGATCCAGTCTGTGTGGAACCTCTAAAGCACCCCAGAAGTCCTGCCTCCAGCCTCTTATCTGGCAGCCACTTGACTTTATGCTCTGCCCCGTCTTCTGTCACCTTGGCAACCTGGGCTCCCACCTCACCCTTCCATTCCTTTTCCTGGACACCACCCTTTGAATTGCCATGGAGAATGGGCCGCTTCATGGTGGAAGTTTGTTCCCACGGCAATCAGCATTTCATTCCTGCCCCTAAGGTTTACCCCAACCATTCCTGAAGTACGCTAAAGTACACCCACGCCCATCTCAGACCAACCTTGGCCTCGCCTCTGCTTCTAAATGGTTCCAGCTTCCACCAATAGGCGCAGAGGTGGATCCCGCCCTCTCTGGTCCGGCCCCTAGTCTAGGTTGAGTCCAACTGCGTCCAATCAACGCAGGGCCAGGTTCCGCCCCTTTATAACTGGCCGCAGCTCAACCCAGCCCTTGTAGGCATTTAGTTTCTGCCACTCAACGCTCCTTTGCGTGTCTGGCAGCCATCCTGCCCTCCTACCTCCGCTCCGTTCTAAATTCGTCTTTTCTAGCCAATCACCATAGAGTTACCCTGACCGCCTACGCAGAGCCCGGCCCGACCCCCTCCCTACCCGCTGCTCCGCCCATTTCTATATAAGTCCTGCTTCCGCTGAGCAGCATGGCGTGCAGCACCGCCGCCTGGGTGTTTTGGCAGCTGTCTAGGAGTCCCTCATCCGCCAATCAGGAAAACAGGACCACCCGCCCCCCATTCTTGGAGGCAGTCTGTCTTCTATCAATCCCATTTAGGCCAATCAGTGTGAGGCAGGCGCCCCCGAACCTAGTCCATTGCCTACGGTCTAGCTGTCCTCCTTGAGCCAATCATCGTGCAGCACCGGCGAGGCCAAGCACGTCTCCTTAGAACTTGAGCGGCCGTCCGCGGTCCATCATTTCCCCTTGGGCCAATCATGGCACAGTTCTGTGGGGCAGAGCCCGCCCCGCCAACCCCTCGAAGCCGTACGGCCGATCCATGGCGCTGTGGCCAATCAGCAAGCGGTGGGACGCTCGACTCCTCCTCCATGGGCCCACGTGAGCGGTGGGGAAACGCAGGGGCGGCTTATAGGTGCTGCTGCCGCCGCTGCCGCTGCCGCCGCCACCGCCGCCGCCGCCGGCACCGCCACCACCGCCGCCGCCTCGGAGCCCGGGCCTGGGGGGCGGTGGGGCCGCGTATGGAGCCCCCGCCCCCCGGAGCTGCCAACATTGCCAACGCTGCCGCCGCCCTACGCACAGGTGAGCCCCGGGCCTGGAGGGTGGAGGGCCCCGTCCATGACCCCACGTATCCTTCCCGTCCCCGCGCGGGGGATGTGGCTTGGCCGGTGGCCTGCTGCTATTCAACTCCCCACCGCTACCACCACGGCTAGTGGACCTGCGTGTGGCAATGCCCACTCCCTTCGCCCCCGGTTAATGGATCTGACCGTGGCCTAACCTCCCCCTCCCGTTGTGTAATGGATCGGTCTGCGTGCTTATATTTCTCCCCACCCCAACTTACGGTGGACTCGTCCGTGGTCTTGCCCCCACCCCCACTTACAGGGCACCAGTCTGTGTCAGTGTCCAACCCCTTTAATAGTAGATGCACCTAAATGTTTGTATTTCTCCTGGCCTCAACTTTCAGGGGACCCGTCTGTGGCCTTGTTTATTCCACCCCTCCTGTTCCTTGTAGGCAATCAATTCGTGGCGCCGTACCCCTCCACACACACACCCCTCTTTAACAGTGAGTGATTCTGAGTTTGTATTCCTGCCTCCTCCTGTCCCCCAGTGCATCAGTCCGTGGCTTTATCAACCCCCCCCATTTTATAGTGGATCAGTCTACATGTTTGGATTCACATCCCCCTAGTTATCAGTCCATTGCCCTATCTCGCCTCCCTTTTTTTTTTTTTATAGACTGTCCAGACCTTGAGCTTCTCCCTTTTGATAGTGGGTCAGTTTAGTGCTTTATATCTCCCTATTTTCAATAGCTCAGTTCATGGCCTTGTCCCTCTCTCCTTTAAATCAAACTATGTGATGGCTTTTCTCCCCCCTCACTATGGTGCAGGAGTCAAGAAGCTTTTCTGTTCCCCTTCCCCTGAGTACATAAGCCTTATCCCCACTCCCTTTGTAGTATATCTATTCATTGACCTTCCTGCTAGCCGCATGCTTGCATTCACACCCCCCACACATGCCCTCCCGTGAGTCCAGTGCTTTATGACCCCTCCCCCAGGAGGGTCAGCCTGTGCACTTTTATTTTTGTCCTGTAGTGGGTCAGCTTGTGTGCTTGTTGAACCCAGGGCTTTTTTACTCTAGAATACACTCCCTCATACACTCTTAACCACCAAGACGTCCTCCCTCACTACAATAAGTGAATATATTAGTGCTAGTGATGATGGTAATGCCAATAGGAGCTAACACTTATTGAGCACGTGCTATACAGCAGGCAAAGTGTTTTATATTAGCTTGTTTAATTCTCACCGCAACCCTATGGCACAGGTACTGAGGATGCTGGAGCATAGGGAGGTTAAATACTTTACTCAAAGGTGGCCCAGTCAGTACTCAGGGCACAGGATAATTTTTGAGGCTCCCCTCTTAGCCCGTATCCCATTCCACGTGAGGTCCTGCTCCTTAAAAACCAAATTAGGGCCGGGTATGGTAGCTCATACCTTTAATCCCAGCACTGTGGGAGTGTGAGACAAGAGGATCGCTTGAGCCCACGAGTTCGAGACCAGCCTGAGCAACATAGTGAGACCCTGCCTCTACAAAAAAAAAAAAAAAAACCAGAAAAAAGAAAGAAAAATTAGCCAGGCGTGGTGGTGCCTGTAGTCCCAGCTACCAGGAAGGCTGAAGCAGAAGGATCACTTGAGCCCAGGAGTTTGAGGCCAGCCTGGGCAACATAGTAAGACCCACGTCTCTTAAAAAAAAAAAAAAAAACTGCTGTATGTAATACACTCTCCTAAAGGCAAGGTGTAAAAGATGTTTCTAAGAGTGCTTTAATTTCATTGCACCTGGGTAGTGCTATTTCAGTAAAGAATGTGTTTGTCACGCTGTGATGCTTGGAATACACTATATAAAGGCACATGTATAAAAAATGTTTCCAAGAATGCTATTTGTAAAAACAAAAGTCACCCCCTCTCTGACCCCCTGAACCTGCACATCTCGCAGGGCTCAGGCCCTTACCCTGCATTGTTTGTCCCTCTGCCCTTTGTCACTGACACGCGTAGAGTTTACTTGTTTATTGTCTGCCTCTCTCCATTAGAATGGGAGTCCCATGAGTACTCAGTTTTTGTCTGCTTATTCACTGCTGTCTCCAGCACCTGAAAACATACCAGGTATACAGTAGATACTTAATAAGAATTTATTGCATGAATAAATGGGAAAAAATGTCATTTCAGATGTCTGTGGGGGACCAATGGGGAAGATGAAAGGCCGTGAGAGCTAGTTAGTTGAGACTATTGCTTCTGCAAACCTTTACTGAGCACCTAGTGATTACCAGGCACTGTTCTAGGTGCCGGGGATCTGGAAGGGAACAAAACAGGCAGAAATACCTGCCCTTGTGGAGCAGATGTTTATTAAAAGCGGGGGAGATGGATTACATGAACAAAACAAGTAAAATTAGATAGTATGTTAGACATGTGCTAAGGAGAAAAAATGAAATAGGGCAGGTAGGAGTAGAGTGTTGGGGTGTTTGAAATCTTAGGCACCAGGCAGGCCACACTTGTGACTTTTGAATGAAGAGCCTGAAGGAGGTGAGGGAGGGAGCCATGATGTCTAGGGGAAGAGTGGACCAGGCAGAAGGAACAGCCAGTACAAAGGCCCTGAGGTGGGATTGTGCCTGCCATGTTCAAGGAACATCAGGGGGCCAGTGTGGCTGGAGCAGGATGGTGGTAGAAGGTGGGGTCAGAGAGGTGATAGGAGCCAGATGGTGTAGGTAGGCCATGGTCACACACAGGCTTGAGGAGGAGGGAGGATGACACATTAGCTAATGGCTAACATTTACTGAGTGTCTGCCATGTGCCTGAGACACTTTCTTAAGTCCTTTACATATCTTGACACCCTTAATCCTCACAGAAGCCTTTGAGGGTAGTTGTATTTGTGAGAATATTTGATTTTGAGAGTAAAAATATTCCCATTTTACAGATGAGGAAACAGGCACAGAGAAGTTGAGTAACTTGCTTAAGGTCACACAGCCAGAACAGGGACAGAGTTGTATGAGGCTGAAGACCCAGAGAGAAGAACAGATTTGCAAGGGCAGACAGGTTATTCAGTGCATCGGATCACACAGAAGAATTCTTCCTAGGGGGTACTGGGAACTTGATGATTGTGTAATAAAGAATCCATCATGTGAGAGAAAAGCTCTCCTGGCAGGGAAACAGTATGTGCATACCTTCAGAGGTAGGGACTGTCCTGGGAACCATAGATAGTTCAGGGTGGCTGCCTCAGAGCCTTTGTACGTGCTGTTCTCTCTGCCTGATGTCAGCATGATTTGCTACCTCCTCTCCTTCAGGTCAAATGTCACCTAGGGAAGACCTCCCTGCTCACCCTGTGTATAGAGCATTCCTGTCGCCCTCGAAGATCTTACCCTCTGTGTCTCTCTTCCTAGAGAAGTGGTGGTATAAGGTGGCTAGGATTGCCGACTGGAGCCAGACTGCTTAGGTTTGAATCCTGGCTCTGCCAACTTCCAACTGTGACCTTCAGCAAGTGACTTCTACTGTACTGCCATTGCCTCATCTGGAAAATAGGGGGAATAATAAGACCTACCCTTTAGTGTTGGTTTGAGGATTAAATGAGTTAAATGATTCAAACAGGGTGCAGCACACGGTACAGGCTCTATGCCTTGTTTCTGTTTTTTAAATTACTATTCATAGCACACGTGTAGGTGTCCAACAGGCCTCAGAAATTGACCGTCTCAAAACTGGCCTCCTGATCACCCCTCAAAACCCATTCTCCCATCTCAGTTGATCACAATGCCATCCTTCCAGTGATCAAGCCACAAACCTAGAATCACCCTTAGCTCCCCTCTCATCCCCCCATGTTATCTGTCAGCAAGTCCTCTTCTGTCTTCAGACTTTATCCAGAACCCAGACACTTCTCACCAGTTCCACTGCCACCACCATCGCCTGTCACTTGGACTGTCGCAGTAGCCTCTTCAACCCCAAAGTCTCTCAACACCCAGAGGGATCCTGTTAAAATCCAAGTCCCAGCCTGTCACCCCTCTGTTCACAATCCTCTCGTGGCTCCTGTCTCACTCAAAGTCCTGACAGTGCCCAAAAAAGCCTCACTCAATCTGGCCCCTCTTGCCCTCTGTTCTCCCTCTCACCTGCCAGGCGCTCTCCAGTCTCAGAGCCTCTCACACCAGCTGCTCCCTTGGCCTGGCTCACTGCTCTCAGACACTCACAAGCTCCATTCCTTCACCTCCTTTAGGTCTTGCTCAATCGTCACGTCCTCAGTGACTACCCCCACCCTGACTACCCCTTGTAAAAATAACAGCGTCTTCTCTGCTTTTTTTCCCATAGCCCTTATCACCATCTGACATGTTCTTTACATGTCTGCTTTGTTTCTTGTCTGTCTTCACTAAATGTGAATTCCGCTGGAGCAGGGATTTTTGTCTGTTTTTTTCAGGGCTATATCCCCAGCACCTGGCCTTCAGTAAGCACTCAATAAATGCTTGCTAAATGAGCGAGCTGAAAGAAACAGACACATCTGAGTAAGGCAGATTACTAGAACTCTTATTAGGGGTCAAGTGAGAGAAGTGGTAATAAACAAAATACAAAACACCCTGTGTGCTGTTGAGGCTAGAAGCCAACCGTCTGATTTCACTTAGCTGATAGGTTCTGTTGAAGCTGAGAAAGGAGCTGGTACAATTGCCTATCTTCGCCACCAGGAGTCACACTGAACTCTTTGGGTCTCTGAAACAAGCCTGCCTTCAAAATAAACTGAGTGAGGTCTCTGATGACAGGACCCTCTAAGGGACACTTCATGGCACTGTGACTTGTATAATAGCCTGAGACCGTGTCTGCTGAACGAACTTTGAAGCAGCTCAGTCATGAGAGGGTCATACTGTGTATTTCATTGCAGATGAAAGAAATCAAGCCATAAAATAATAGAGGTTCTTCAGAACCTTTCGATTTGGGTTTTATTCTTAATCCAAGGATCCAAGCCAGGTGACCAGTTGCTTGATTAAAGTTCATTCCCTTAAGGAACAGGAAGCTCGTGTTTATTTCCAATCTGCTCTCAGGAAAGAGCAATTATGGGGCAAGAGGGAGGATCCCGTTCTCTGAGGGACATGCTAAGAGGGAGCATGTCACTGTGAGGGCCAGTTTGGCCCAATGGTTAAAAGCTTAGACAGCTGGAACCTGACTACCTGGGTCCAAATGCTGGCTCTGCCACTTACAGCTATGTGGCCTGTGGAAGTTACTTAGACATTTTGTGCCTCAGCTTCCTCATCTACAAATTGGTGATAATAAGAATGCCTACTTCCCAGAGTCGTGCTGAGGGATAAATGAGTCAATGCCTATAAAAGCAACAGTCCAGGTGTATATGCCCTTATCCAAAACCCCGGGGACCAGATATGTTCCAGAATTTCGAATTTTTCAGATTTTAGAAAGGTAACATGGTGCACATACGACATGTTACATAACAGCCTTAGTAAGCTCTATAATCAGCTACGTTCGTATTTCTGCAGCAAAATGTTTGAACATTCACACTAAGTGAGAATCAATAAAGACCAGAAAGGGCCTTGTTTCATTTCAAAGCCAGTTTTGCTGCCAAAAATGTTACAAAGAAGCTTTCTGTTTTTAGAGCTTTTTGGATTTTGGAATAGCAGATAAGGAATTACGAACAAATCAGAAACTAATATTTATTTAGAGCTTATCATACCCCAGGCATATTATATTTAATCCACACAAAAGCTCTATGAACTAGGTAGTATTGTCCCTATTTTACAGATGGGCATGCCATTATCTCTTTTTTATAGGTGAGAAAATTGAGACACAAAGAGGTTAAAGAATATGGCCAGGGTCACAGCTAATACACGGCAGAACTAGGATTCAAACCCTGGAAGTCTGGCTCTAGAGCCTGGTTGTCCAGCAGGCCATATTGCCTCTCTGCTTAAAACAGTGTCTGGCGTGTATTAAGCAGACAATAGATGTTGGTTATTACTGTTACCAAGAAGGAGAACGTTCGGGGACAGTAACAGGGCAGAGAGAGCAGGCCTTCAGTTTCAGGAAAGCATCATAAAGGAAAGTACCTTTGGGCTGAGACTTGAAAGGAAGGCTGCTAGGCAGAGGAAGGGAGCCCGTGGGGACTGAACAGGCTTTGCAAGGGTTGGACAAAAGGAACCTCCAGAAAAAAATGACATTGATTTGGTAGAAGATACAGACGATGACGTTCAGATGATGGGGATTGCTCTAGTATTCTACTCCTGTAATTATTACAAACTCAGCTGCTTAAAACAAATTTATTATCTATATATTAACTATAGTTCTGTAGGTCAGAAGTCCAACACTGGTCTCACTGGGCTGAAATCAAGGTGTTGGCAGGGTCATATTCCTTTTGGAGGTTCTAGGGGAGAATCTGTTTCCTGCTCATTCAGGTTGGCAGAATTCAGTTCCTTGAAGTTGTAGAACTGAGGTCCCTGTTTCCCTACTGGCTGTCAGCTGAGAGCCATCCCCAGTTTTAAGAGGCTGCCACCAGTCCTTGGCTCAGAGCCCCCTTCATCTTCAAAGCCAGCAATAGCAGGTCGAGTCCCTCTCATACTTTGAATTTCTCCTGACTCTTCTGTCATCACATCTCTCTCTGAACTACCTTTTAGTCTCCTGATCTGCTTTTAAGAGGTCATATGATTAGATTGAACTCACTCGAATAATCCAGAACATTCTCCCTACCTTGAAGTCTGTAACTTGAATATCATCTGCAAAGTTCCTTTTTGCTATAGCATAACATACTCACAGGTTCCAGGGATTAGGGTGTGGACATCTTTGGGGCAGGGGTGGCATTATTCTGCCTACCACAGTCTGCCTTCTGACCCCCAAAATTCACATTTGTCCCACAATCAAAATACATTCACACCATCCTAAGATCTCCACAAGTCTCATGCCATTACAGGGGGCACTCAAAGCTAGATTGGGGAGTTTAGAAGTTAGTCTGAGGGTGTTTAGGGAATGATGGTGGGGTTTGGGGGCAGAGGTGGAGGCAAGATGACAAGAAAGGAATCTTCCTTCTGTTGACCTCTGCTCCCTCCTATGTCCAAAGCCTCTCAGCTCTGAGCTATATGCCCTCCAGGTTCCCCTGGGATGACGTGAGCGCTCCCCCAGCGATGGACCCATCTGTGACGCTGTGGCAGTTTCTGCTGCAGCTGCTGAGAGAGCAAGGCAATGGCCACATCATCTCTTGGACCTCACGGGATGGTGGTGAGTTCAAGTTGGTGGATGCAGAGGAGGTGGCCCGGCTGTGGGGGCTGCGCAAGAACAAGACCAACATGAATTACGACAAGCTCAGCCGAGCCTTGCGGTACTACTATGACAAGGTATATGGCCTCTAAGACCCGGGACCCCCTGACATTTATAGCAGAAATGTCATTTGCTTGTTTTAATTGCTATAGCTATAACTTTGAAAACAGTATTAAAATTTATTATTTCTTAACCCATCCTCTTGGTACCCTCAGACCAATGTTGGACCCCCAAACATTTATCTCACTTACTTTATTTTCTTGTCTTACTGCCTCAACTATAATATTCATTGCATTATTAATTCTGACTCTTCCTCACCCTACTCTCTGAGATCCCCAAAGTGATACTGGCCTGCCATGCCCCACATAACATTTCATTTTTGTGCCTTAATCCTATAGCCAAAACTTTGAAAACACTGTTAATAATGACTGGTCCTCATTCTGTCCTCTGGAAGCCCTGAAGATTATTTCATAATCTTCTCTTATTCTGTAATATTTCATATACTTATTCCTAGAATCCAAACCTCCCTGCCAATATTATACTAACCTTTGCTTACTTCATCCTCCCCCAACATGTATTCTTTCTTTATTTTTTTATTTATTTTTGTAAGAGACAGAGTCTTACTCTGTGGCCCAGGCTGGAGTGCAGTGGCACAATCATAGCTCAGTGCAGCCTCGAATTCCTGGGCTCTAGCGATCCTCCTGCCTCAGCCTTCTGAGTAGTTGGGACTACAGGCACATGCCACCATGCCTGGCTGATTTTTCTTATTTTTGTAGGGGAGGGGTCTTGCCCAGGCTGGTCTCAAACTCCTCCCCAACATTTTTTATCAATTACTTTCTTTTCTTCCCTTATTCCTTTAGCTGCAACCTCCAAAACAACATGTTTAATGGCCAGTTCCACACCCCATCCTCTTGGATTCCCAGAGAAGCACTGGTCTGCCCCAATATTTATACCAATTATTTTATTTCATCGTCTTACTCCCATAGCTAAAATTTAAAATTTTCCTCATCCTATCATCTCAGACTCCCAGACCAGCCCTGGACTTTCCCTCCTTCCCAATAATTATACCAGTTATTTCATTTATTTCTTTAGCTGAAACTTCCAAAACAATATTAATGACTGTTCCTTTTCATTCCTCTTCTGAGAAACACAAGCCCATCCTGTGACATACCTGACCAGCATTAAGACCTCCCAAGAATGCCCTAGTGCTCCCCAGACACCTCTTGTCCCCCCAGAACAGCCCTAGACCTGTGCTGCACACCCTTAATAATTTATGACATTTATTCCATTTTCATATTTTATTCGTTTAGCTCAAACTTCTAAAACAATAATGAGGCCACCTCACTGTGCCCTCTGGGGCCACCAGAACATCCCTGAGACCCTCTAGACCATTTTTCCTGAAATACCCCAAACATGCTCTGTGACCCACCCAAGCCAGCCTTGAGATCTTTATACCAGTATTTTAATGTTGTTGTCTAACTGCTGTCAGTTACTTCATTTTCTTATTGCTTCAGCTTAAACCTCCACAACAGTATTAATAATGAGGCCTTTCACCCTGTCCTCTGTAGTGACCTTGCCCTGTTCCACTTCTATATCAATAGTTTTAAATAATCCTCTATATTAATAATTCATCTACCCCATTCGTCTACATTAATTTAGTCTCTTTCAATATTTATATCAGTTACTTCATTTTCTTGTCCTATTGGATTAGCTAGTCTCCAAAACTCTGTCCTGGCGGCCACCCCCAAGGCCTGACCCTGTTAACCCTGGTTCTTGGAGCCAGGAAGAAAAGCTGCTCCTATGCCTACTTCCTTCGATGGGCTCCATTGTAAAGAGGAGCAGTGGGGGTGGGAGAATCACACGGATGGAGATGGAGAGTGACAGGGAGGGAGATGGATGGGAAGGAGACTAAAGAAGGAATTGTGGAGGGGAGAATAGAGAAGGGGGAGAAGCTGGGGAGGGATACAGAGAGGGGAGTCTAGGGAGGGGAAGGAAGGAGAGGTAGAAATTGACAGGCAAAGGATGGAGCCCACAAATTGACAAAGAGATGGGTGAAATGGGCTGGGAGGGGGAACCATATGGAGGAGGGACAGTGTATCTGTTAAAAGACAGAGAGCCAAAGGGGAAGAAAGCTGCTAGGAGAAGAGAAACACTCCTCCACCCTACTCCTCTCCCATCGGCACCCTCCCTCCACCCTGCCCCTTTCCTCTAAGGCCCTCTGTTCCATCTCCTCCCTTCCCAGAATATCATCCGCAAGGTGAGTGGCCAGAAGTTCGTCTACAAGTTTGTGTCCTACCCCGAGGTCGCAGGGTGTTCCACTGAGGACTGCCCACCCCAGCCCGAGGTGTCTGTCACCTCCACCGTGGCAAATGTGGCCCCTGCTGCTGTACATACCACCCTGGGAGACACTGCCTCTGGAAAGCCAGGCACACCCAAGGGTGCAGGAATGGCAGGGCCAGGCGGTTTGGCGCGCAGCAGCCGTAACGAGTACATGCGCTCGGGCCTCTATTCCACCTTCACCATCCAGTCCCTGCAGCCACAGCCACAGCCACCCCCTCATCCTCGGCCTGCCTCGGTGCTCCCCAACACTGCTCCTGCAGGAGCAGCAGCGCCCCCCTCGGGGAGCAGGAGCACCAGTCCAAGCCCCTTGGAGGCCTGCCTGGAGGCTGAGGAGGCTGGCCTGCCTCTGCAGGTAAGGACTGGAGTATAGAAATTCAGCAAGAGGAGGGGAAGAACAGGAGGGATGGGGAGAGGGGCTGGTAGGAGAAGAGACATAGCAGTCCTTTTAAAGGAGATAATGGTGGAAGGAGGGAACAAAGTCCCCTTGGAGAAAGCGGTGGGGAGGAGAGCTGTGCAAATCCTAAGAAGGGGGAGAATAAGTGTGCTACGATTAGTAGTTACCCAACATGTAGTAAGTGCCCTGAATGTGTCTGTTCAACGCACTGGTTCTCACACTTTAGCGCTCATCAGAATCAGCTGGAGGGCTTGTTGAATACAGATTGCTGGGGCCCACTCCAGAGTTTCTGATTATGTGGGTCTGGAGAGGGCCCCAAGAATTTGCATTTTTAACGAGTTTCCAAATAAGGCAGCTGCTGCTGGTCCCTAAAGTAAATTTTTGAGAACCACAGTTTTAACGAATGAGGGTGGTATCCTCTAGAGTCCCACACCCATCAGGTTGTCGCACCCTAGGTCTCCTGCCCCATTTGGAGGACCTGCCCTAGAAGAAGCCTCACTTCCTTGAAGAAGTCTCATGTCCTGTTGGAGGACCTGCCCTGATGTGCAGTCGTGCCCACAATACCAAGTGCCGCTTCCCAGGGGACTCATTGGGTGGCCCGCAGGAGAAAGCATTTCTACCCTAACAGTCCTTACCCTCTCTGTACCCTCACCTCTCCCAGGTCATCCTGACCCCACCTGAGGCCCAGAATCTGAAATCAGAAGAGCTGAATGTAGAGCCAGGTTTGGGCCACCCATTGCCTCCAGAAGTGAAAGTAGAAGAGCCCAAGGAAGAATTGGACGTCGCGGCAGAGGCGGGGTTTGTGCCGGAAACTGTTAAGGCTGAGCCGGAAGTCCCTCCTGCGGAGGGCGTGCCAGCCCGGCTGCCCGCCGTCGTGATGGAGGCTGCACCGCAGGTGGGGGGCCTCGCGGCTTCCAGCACTGAGGTCGCCCAGCCGCAGAAGGGCCGAAAGCCCCGAGACCTGGAGCTTCCACTCAGCCCGAGCCTACTGGGTGGGCCGGGACCCGAACGGACTCCAGGCTCAGGAACTGGCTCCGGTCTGCAGGCGCCTGGGCCGGCACTGACGCCGTCCCTACTGCCAACGCATACATTGGTGAGTGCCTGCGCAGGGGCGGGGCAGGCAGCCAGGACGAATGGGATTGGCATGTGGCGAGTGACTGACAGGAATTAGATAAGGGCGAATGTGGCTGTCAGTGAAGACGGTGGAGCCTTCTAGTGTGACTGGCTGTACTGAAGCTTGGGCTGGAGGGATGGGGCTGGATTGATGAAGGGCAGGTCTGGGGACTTTTGTGGGTGGAACTGAGGGGCTGAGAGGTTTTCTGTGGGACTGTTTCTGGGTTAGGGCATGGCTTAGGAATCTGAGCAGGGCTTTTTGATCAGGGATTTGCTTATTGGGTTTCCCGTGAGGTACAAGGATGGGATGTAAGAGTTGGGGCTGACCCTGAGCTATTGGGATGGTGACTTGTGAAGTTTGAGAGAAGCATGTGAATACGGTCTTGTGGGTGGTCTTCACCAATAAGGCCTCAACACCAGCACCTAAGGGTGGACTCTGAGGAGTAGGGAGAGGGGGTGACTGTAGAATTTGGGAGAGATTGAGGGCATGGCCTCAGTAGTTATGGTCTGGGTCTGTGAACTTTTGGGGAGCGACCTTGGGGGTCTTGAGTGGGAAATCCGGTAGGGCTGGGACCAAGTTCCTTCTATCTTCCCATACCTGCCCTCTGCTCACTTGAGCTCCACCCACTCCTTCCTCCTCAGACCCCGGTGCTGCTGACGCCCAGCTCACTGCCTCCCAGCATTCACTTCTGGAGCACCCTGAGTCCCATTGCACCCCGTAGCCCGGCCAAGCTCTCCTTCCAGGTAGGATCTCCTTCCCCCATCTTGGAGAGGACAAGCGACCCTTTAGCATGGCCCCGACGTGTGACCTCTCCCTATTTCTGCTTCCAGTTTCCGTCCAGTGGCAGCGCCCAGGTGCACATCCCTTCCATCAGCGTCGATGGCCTCTCGACCCCCGTGGTGCTCTCCCCAGGGCCCCAGAAGCCATGACTACCACCACCATCCCCTTCCGGGATCACTCAGTCCATGCCCCTGAACTTCTCTCCAGCCAGCCATCTCAAGGAGAAACATAGTTCAACTGACAGACTCATGCTCTGGTTGTGGTGGGGTGGGGATTCTTGGAAAGAAGGATCTCTTAACAACTCCTCCACGGAAAACACACAACTTCTGTCTTCTTCGTCAGTCCCCCAGTGGCCGCCTTCACACGTCTCCTACTTCAGTGGTAGGGGCGGTTTATTTATTTATTTTTTGAAGGCCACTGGGAGGAGCCTGGCCCAACCCTTTTAGCAGGGGTGGTTAGCACATCTCCCCCACCTCCCTACTTTTTTTCCCAAGACAAGACAATCTGGGTCTGGCTTGAGAAGGCTCTTTCTTTATTTATTTCTCAGCCTGCCCTTGGGGAGATGAGGAAGCCCTGTCTTCCGTTTTGGGATGTGGGTAGAAGAGCTAGTTTGTTTCGTTTTATTATTCCTGACCATATCAAGGGTCTAGGAGGAATTTGTACCATTTAATGGGTTGGGAGTCTTGGCCAAGGAAGAATGACACCCTTGGAATAAGAATTTCCACCTCCCCAACCTTTCTCTCAGACAGCTTGTCCTTCTTTCAATCAACTTTTTGGCCAGGGAGGAATGCTCCTTTGTTCTTCTCCTCCCTGAGAAGCCATCCCTTTGTCTGCCAAACTCCCTGGGGTCCTGCCTGTTACCTCCCAATGGAGGGTTTTCTTGGGGGATGGTCCCCGTCTGGGGGGCCCCTCCAGCCAGTACTCCAGGTCTCCCTGTCTCTCACCCCCTGCCATTTTGATAGTATAATCTATTTTTAAATGGGGCTTTTCAATAGGGGAGAGGGGGGCATCTCTTCCTATATCTGATGGGGTGGGTGGGAAGGAAGGGATTTGGGGGGGAATCCTCCTGCTACCCCCAAGTGTTTATTTTTGATACCAAACATGTATTTTCAGCTCCCTCCCTCCCAGCCCCCCAATTTCCTGCGGGCGGGTACAAAGGACCCTTTAAGTGTCCCTGGAGTTGGGAGGGAGGAATGGGGACATAAAGCCTGTCCTATCTCGATTCCAGGCCAGAGAGAGTGGGTTCAGAAGACTCCTGGGCACACCTCCTGTCAGCACCAGCCCAGCCCAGGCCTGGGGACCTGGGGGTTGGTGATTTGGGGGACGGTGCTACACTCGTCTCCACCATGTTTTACTTCCCCAAAATGGACCTTTCTTTTCTAAGAGTCCCAGAGAATGGGGAATTGTTCCTGTAAATATATATTTTTAAAGGTGGTGCTGGAGTGGCATTTTTTTCCTCCTGTTGTCAGGACTAGCTGAGTGTGACAGGCATGGCTGTGTGTGAAGGGCAATGAGAGCTTGAGGCAGAGGTTGATTGTGAGAGAAATTGTGTGATGCTGTGTGTCAGAAACAGTGGTAGAGACTGCAGATCAGTAACCATGTGTGTGTGTGAGAGAAACTACAAAGCTGTGATTGTGTGTGTGTGAAAGAGCGCAGAAGTTGTGACCACAGACTTTTGACAGCGTGGCTACATGAGAAATTGTGGCTGTGTTTTGGAAAATCACTGAGACTGAAGGAGTGGTTAAGATATGGTACAAGAACCTGCGATGGTGTTTATGAAATAATGTTTATGAGAAGGAAACAGGGACTGCAACTCTATCACTGTTTGACAGGCTGATGGTGAGCAGGACAGACCGAGTGACCAAAACCACACATGAGGGACAGCGTGGGCACAAAACTGTGGTAGATTTTCTCGGGGATTGTGTGAGAAACCTCACTGTAGGTGACTCAGTGTTTGAGAAATGGATTGTGTGTGAAACTTTATGTGAGGCTGTAGCGTCAACTAAAGTCTTGGGAGCGTGTGTGTGAGAAGTTTGTGTCATGTGTCTGAAAACGGGTCATGAGAGACTAGTGAAGGAACAGAATGAAGGGCTGCGCCTGGGAGAGCGTGAAAGGCTGTATGTGTGTGAGCCCAAGACTAGTGGCAGATCGAATTATGGGTACTACAGTCTGTCCCACAGGCTCAGGACCTGTGAGAAAGTGTGGGAGAGTGGTGGTGAGGCGGCGACTGAAATGATGGGCAAGACCACCTGACCAGGACTGGGAGGGAGAAACCAGCAGTAGCAATAACTGGAAGTCAGCGACTGTGGGAGACAAACTTGACAACTTAGCAGCTTCCAGGGTGGGGATGTCTGTGAAATATAAGCCACTGCAAGTCAGGAACTGTGTGTGAAAAAGCTGTGCAAATGAGATGCTGAGCGATGCCATGGTGTGGCATGTGAGAAACTTGCAAGGCTGTAATTGTGCGTGTGACTGTGTGAAGAAAGTGACGGTGTGCACAACCAAGATGGGGCGTGGGAGACTGTGCGACTTATCAAGGGCCTAGGAGCGATTGTGACTTAGTGACCACATATGTCAGAAGTAGACTGGAGGACAACGATGGGGAGACTGAATGGGCGACTGTGTGCCTGTGTGTAAAACTCTTTGCAAGAGACTTTATTAAAGGATGTAAATCAAGGACTGGGTGTGTTGGAAGCTGGTTGAGAAGAAATGTGAGACCAGATGACAAAGACAATGTCTGCAATGTGGTGTGATCGTGTATGCGTGTGAAACTCTTCATAGGAGACCGTAGGAGAGGCTATCATTGGGCACCATGGGTGTGTGAAAAAGTGGCCTGAGTGTGAAGGGATAGGAGAGGTGGCGATTTTGTGTGTGAGAAACTTCGTGAGAGACTAGCTAGCAGTGACTGTAAATCAGTGACTATTTGAGTATGTGAGAAAATGACAGGCCAAATGAGTGGCTGAAAGATCCTGAGATGAGATGGTGTGACTGTGTGTGTGTGTGTGTGTGTCTGTGAGAAACTGGTGAGGAAATACTGGCAATATTGACTAAGACAGGCTGTAAGACGTTACTGCGTATGTGAAACTGTAGGAGGCTGGGGATCAGTGACAGCAAATGAGTGACAGAATGTCTGAGTATGTCAGAGCTGTGCGATTATGTATGTGAACCTGTTTGTGAGAGACTATAGTAGAGGCTGTGACTCCAGAGCTGTTGTATATAGGTAAAAAATAATAAAATGTGAGAGAAAGACCAAATGAGACACTGTATGAGAGACCACAGATCGAATGTGCCAGGCCTAGGAGAAAAACCCTCTTGTGTTTGTCCTGTTGCTCTGTGGACACTTCCTGCTTAGTACCCCCCGGGGTTGGCTCTTCCCAGTTCTCTAAAACTTGAAATGCTGGGGTTCCCCGGGGCTTTGTCTGGGGCTCTCCTCTCACGCATCTTCTCTAGGTAGTCTTATCCAGTTCCAAGACTTGAAATACTACTTAGCCCCGAGGTGATGCCCAGATTTTTACCTCCAACTCAGACTGTTCCTCTTAGCACTTCCCAGAATCTCCAAAGTTTTGTTTATTTTATTTATTGATTCATTAAGCAGGTGTTTATTGAGCATGTGCTGTTAGCTGGTGCCCATCTAATGCCCTGCAGATCCAGCAGTTAACAAACCGGACAAAACTCCCTGCCCTTACCGGGCTGATGGGGCTGATATTTAGTGAAGGAGATGACAAGAAACAAGTACATAGTATCAAGTAGAGATGTAATAATTAAAACAGACAAGAGTCTCTCACTCTGTTTAAATAAAGAATCTGCAAACTCATTTGATTGCCCTAAATGTGTGTGGGAGATGAACGTGCTGACAATTCTCTTCCACAGGGAATCCTAGGAGTACTTATGCAGTTTAGGAACAAAGGAAATACCGATTATGACATTATTACCAGGGCAACAGGTGATTAAATAAAGCAGTCAGCCAGAATTGCAGGTTTCTGGGGGGGTTTGTTTTCACAGGATAAGGCAACACTGATGTCTGAAGTTTTAGAATCTTAACAAGACCCTTTGTTCAAAGGACACTTTCAAAGACAGGCTTGTATTACCAGAGAACAGAGTATATCTGGAATGGTTACAAATATTAACACACACCTAATCGCCCATAAACAAGACCAGTATTGTTGAAATACTTCTGTTTTAACTCCTGACCAAATTCTTTTATCTTGTTTAAATTTGCAGGATGGTATTTCTCCCTCCCTGAATGCAAGGGAAATGGGGCATTGCCTTCCTATCTTTCTTAGGCTCCTTTTTGTTAATTAAAAAATATTCCTGTTTTTAAAGTGGGCTCTGGAGTTTTGCTAGGGTTTCTTAAAAAAAAAGGAAGAAAAGAAAATAGGTTTGAGAGCCACTGGGCTAGAGAGTGACAGGGATGCCAGACAGTAAAGGCAGCTCAGAAAGGCCTCTGTGGGGCAGGGGGTAGGGGGGTGACATTTATTGTTCATCTCCTCCTTTAGAACATAAGTCCCTAAGTCCCTGGATGGCCAAGATTTTTGTCCTGTTCTCTAATGCTGAGAACCACATCTGGCATCCAGTAGATGCTCAATAAACATTGAATACATTTATTTAACAAACACGGAGCGCCTACTGTATGCCAAGCACTGTTCTAAGAACTTTAAAAAGCGAAATCCCAATCTCTGCAAGAAAGCCTACCTATGTTGTAAGTGCTGTCTGTGAGCACATTTTACAGAGGAGGAAACAGGCTGGGGGAGGGGGGTGTTACCTGCCGGAGGGTTCTCCGATGGAATATGGCCAAGCCGGTTCCCTCCTAACTGCTCCCAGGCTCCTCCCACTTCTCTTTCTCACTTCCCCTGTGCTGAGCACCCCCCCATGCTGACCGCAGGGAACCTAGCTTTCAGGAAAGAGGAGGGTGGAGGTCAAGTCAGGATGGAGGATGAAGCAATTACCTCAATGCCCCCCTCCACCCCACGAGGAAGGACACACTGAGCACACCACACTCATTTCACCTTTTTTCAACACCCCCATGAGGTTGACCTCATCGTTGTGGTAGAGAGTATGCATTTTACAGATAGGGAAACTGAGGCTCAGGGGTGTAAGTGAACTTGCCCAAGGTCACACAGCTAGGAAGTTGCTCCAAACTCCTATGCTCCATTTCCCCTCACTGAGAATTTGTCCAAGGAGTGTTGAATGAGCACTGAAAAGTTGCTGGGGAGAGCGTGAGGTGGGGATATGGTGACAAAACAGGACCAAGGGTGAAACAGGAAATCAGGAGGGAGAGTAGAGGAGGAGGCAGAGGGGACAGGGGAGAGGTCAGAGCTGAAGAGGCCTGCAGGATGCCCTCTCCTCTCCCCCGCCCTTCGCCCTCCCAGTTCCTCTTTCTCTGCTGACTCGAGGAACAGGTCAACCCAGATAAAGCTGGGCTTCTTCCTCTTGGCACGGGGGCCAGGAGACAGTGCTCAACATGACTGCCCGTGCACCGGCCCCTCGGTGGTTGCTGCTGCCGCTGCTGCCGCTGCTCACCCTGCCAGCCACAGGTGAGCGGGTGAGGGCCCAGCTGGACCCCAGGGGTGCTCAGGCCCACCCCATTCCTGACCATGCCTCACCCACCCACCCATCCCCGGCCGCATTACAGGTTCAGACCCCGTACTCTGCTTCACCCAGTATGAGGAATCCTCTGGCAAGTGCAAGGGCCTCCTGGGAAGTGTCAAGGTGGAAGACTGCTGTCTCAACGCTGCCTTTGCCTTCCAGGAAGATGGCAGCAAGATCTGTCAGATATGCAGGTTAGGGGGAACTTGGGGTGGGGGGGAAGCAAAAAGGACTATCTGTGGAATGACCCAGAACTGGGCATTTTCCTTCTCTGGGATTTCCAAGGGTGGCCCTGAGGCCCTGATCATGACCATAGCTCGGGGTTTCTCGACCTTGGCCCTATTAACATTTGGGGTTGGAAAATTCTTTGTTGGGGTAGCGGGGTACTGACCTATGTATTGTGGGACAGTTTATAACATTCCTGGCCTTCCACTAGATGCCAGTAACAACTCCCCTCATCAATTGTGACAACCAAAAATGTCTCCAGACATTGCCAAATGTTCCCTGTGGGCCAAATCACCCTGGTTGAGAACCACTGCCGTAGCTCACATATGTTGCCCGCTTCCAGCACGCCGCGAGTGCAGGAAGCGTTGCGGGTAGGCTGCAGCTCAGGTGCTTCTGGAGGTAGCCCTAGTGTCCTAATTGTGATGACAGCTCATACTTACTGAGTGCTTACTATATACGGACACATTGTGGGAGTGGAAGAGTTTGGGGAATTCTGAGGGCAGCTCCAGACCCCCAATTATGATGATACTTCACATCATCGAGCACTTCCTGCATACCAGGTGCATTGCAGGGGCGGGAGGGCTCAGCTTGAGAATTTCTGAGGGTAGCTCTAGTCTCCTAATCATGATTTCCAGCTTGCACGTATTGAGCCCTTACTGTATTCCAGATCTATTTTCTAACTGCTTACGGTACATTCTGGATATGCTGTGGGGATGGGGAGCTTGGGATTTTTGAGGGCAGCTCTGGGCCCCTAGTCATGTCAACAGTTCACGTCTATTAACAGCATACCCAGTGCTATGCAGGCGGTGGGGGTAGATCCGGGGGATTTCTGAGGAGGCCTCTGAGCTTGTTGGGGTGATGGCTCCTGTTTATTAAGCACTTCCTGTTTGCCTGCTACTGTGCAGGGTGGTGACCTGGTGAGTTTGTCACAGCAGCTCCAGGCCCCTAGTCCTTACATTTGCTTACTGCATCCCTGCTTGTCCTTGGGGACCTTCCAACTCCAGGTCCCTGGTCATGAAGGTAAATGACATTTATCAAGCCCTTACTGTATGCCCACCTCTTCCCATTCAATCCCCCGACATCCCTAAGAGGTCGGTGCTCATCAGTCCATCCCACACACATTTAGCCAGCACCCCCTTGTGTGCCTGCTTACACTCCGGAGTCCCGAATGCCATCCTTGATACCTCGCAGCAGGATGGGATACCTGTGCTCTTTCTACAGGTTCCCACGATGGTCACCGTGGTCCCCATGGGCCCCCTGCTCAGTGAAGTGCTCTGAGGGATCCCAGCTGCGGCATCGGCGCTGTGTGGGCCGGGACGGGAAGTGCTCTGAGAAGGCAGTGCCTGGGACCCTTGAGTGGCAGCTACAGGCCTGTGAGGACCAGCCGTGCTGTCCTGGTGAGGAGGACAGCAAGGCGGGCAAGCATTCCCTGCTAACCGGCACTGGGATGATCAGTGCAGGGGCACTGAGGGCAGGCCTATGCCTGATGGTTGTGAGGACTGAAGGAACAGAGTGGTGGGAGGCAAGGTCAGAAAGGTGAGGGGGGCCTGATTCTTAGGGGCCATGGTGAGGACATTGCCTTTTAGTGTGAGTGATCTGGACCGTGGGCAGGGGAGAAATGTGATCTGACTTGGGTTGGGAAGAGGACGGACTGTATGAGGGACCAATGTGAAGGCCGCTGTGGTCATCCAGGGGAGCAGCGATGGTGGGTTAAGTGTGGTGGCAGAGGATATGAGGACACGATTAGCTGATGTGGGGCACACAAGGAAGCAAGGAGCCCTGAATGACACCCTACCTCCATCCCATCCCCCTCTCTTCTCTCTCACAGAGATGGGTGGCTGGTCTGACTGGGGGCCCTGGAAACCTTGCTCTGTCACCTGCTCCAAAGGGATCCAGATCCGCGAGCGAGCTTGTAATCACCCCGCCCCCAAGTGTGGAGGCCACTGCCCAGGAGAGGCACAGGAGTCACGGGACTGTGACACCAAGCAAGTTTGCCCCAGTGAGTGACGGCAGCCATAGGACACCAATGGGGGCAGCCAGGGTGGGTCTGTGGGGTTACAGCAGGGAACTGCCGGGGTGAGAAGACTTCAGCGCATATAACCACACTTGCATCTCCCTACCCCCACCCCACCACAGCACATGGGGCCTGGGCCGCCTGGGGCCCCTGGAGCCCCTGCTCAGGATCCTGCCACGGGGGACCCCAGGCACCTATGGAAACGCGAAGGCGCACATGTTCTGCACCTGAGCCCTCCCGGCAGCCTCCTGGGAAATCCTGCCCAGGGCCAGCCCATGAGCAGCGGGGCTGCACTGGCCTGCCACCCTGCCCAGGTACGCGGGTATGAGGCCTCTGACACTCTGCCGGTGGGGCTCTTGATTCAGGGCACAGATGCTCTGCTATTTCAGGAGGTAGAGTTCCTATACCATGTGACCATGGAGCCCTTCATCTGGGGACAGTTTGCCTCAAGGGTCTAGGGGCAGAGGGGAGGGATTAAGGTGGTCTTTCTCCTCACTCCCTTTCCTCCTCCAACAGTGGCTGGGGGCTGGGGGCCATGGGGCCCTGTGAGCCCCTGCCCTGTGACCTGTGGCCTGGGCCAGACTGTGGAACAACGGACATGTGATCACCCTGTGCCCCGGCACGGGGGCCCCTTCTGTGCTGGTGACGCCACCCGGACCCACATCTGCAACACGGCCGTGCCCTGCCCTGGTCAGCACCTCAGGATCCACCATTTCCATGCCTAAGCCCCCCTGCCCATCTCTGTTGCCCAGTTCCTGCTGCTGAGGCCTTGTTCCTGTCTCCGATTCCTCCTTTCCTGGCCCTAATGCCTTAGTTCCACTTCTGATCCGCCATTCCCATATCTGATTGCCCCCACTCCCTCCTGCAGTCCTCACTCCTTCCTCTGAGCCCCCTTGCTAGTTCCCAGCTTTGGTCTGAGCCCCTGTTGCCCTGGCTCTGCAGTGGATGGAGAGTGGGAGGCCTGGGGGCAGTGGAACACCTGCACCCGCCCGAACGTAAAGTCCATCAGCTGTAAGGAAATCCCGGGCCAGCAGACACGCTTAAGGATCTGCAAGGGCCGCACGCTTAATGGACAGCGATGCGCCGGCCAGTACCAGGATATCCGGCACTGCTACAACATCCAGGGCTGCATCTGTGAGTGCCCCACAGACTACGCTGAGGGTGGGGCAGCCCATGCAGGGACGAGGGTTTCCCAACTCTGCTACGGACCCCATGTACCCACAGCCTGTCTCTCACCTTCCCACTGAGACCTCAGATTCTGACTCTGTGATCCCCACCCCTATTGCAGGGAAAGGCTCATGGTCAGAGTGGAGTACCTGGGGACTGTGCATGCCTCCGTGTGGCCCCAAGCCCACCCGTGCCCGCCATCGCCTCTGCACAGCCTTGCTCCCCAAGTTCTCGTGAGTGAGGGGGCAGAGTGTTCCTGGGAGGGAGTCAGGATACCGAAGGTGGGAGAATTGGCTACCCCAGGCAATCAGGGCTTCCACCTCTGGGTCTAAGGTGTCTGCCTTGCCAGGTGCCATCTACCAGCTGCGGGAAGTGGGGAGAAACTAAAGGAGATGATAAAGAAGCTACTGGGAGAGAATTCTTAGCCTCTGTACCCCTCAGTCACTCACTCAGTTACTCAGCCATTCTCCCATTCCCTCAGTCCTTCATGTGTCATTGACTCTGACCTCTCAGTTGCCCATGCTTTGAGTTGCTCAGTCACTCGGGCCTCCATTCACGTACTCACCCCTGCAGTCGCCTACACCTCCATTCACTCACTTGCCATCTCACTGCCCCAAGGCACTCCAAGGCCTTTTCAGCAACAGTTGTAGACATACAGAACCCAGATCCCATGAATCCCCCAAGGGACCTAGCAGGGCCCTGAAACAAGGCATGTGAAGAGCGACTGGTGTGTGGAAAAGAGACTTCCACCTCAGCCTAGGTCCAGGAAGCTGATCTGGCCTCCTGGGGCATGTAGGGTCAGGAAAGGAATCCCTGGCATCAAGACTTTGATCAGAATCCTGGACACAAGTGATTGGCCACTAAAAGTGTTTCCCAGTGACAGAGTGGCCTAGGTATTAGAGGGGGTTCAAATACTCACCCCTTCTTTTCTTCCACATACATCAAGCTACCAGATTAAGTGCACTGTCCCCAGATCGTGGAAGGCCTGCCATCTGTGAAGGGATCTCCCAGCTATAGGGTTTAGAGTGGGTCCTGAAGATGAGTTAGAGGTGTCGAATGCAGGCGCAAAGGACTTGAATGAGTGAGAGACTGAATGGGGAAGGACTAATTGAGAGAATTGGGGTGAGAGTGAATGGAGAGCTTGCCTAGTGGGAGAAAGAACCCAGGCAAAGACCTTTCTGGACATGAGACTGAGTTTGGATAAAGTAAAGGAGAGCGAGAAAGAGATTGGCATGGGGCAGGGATTGGGCCCAACGATAAGGCCTTGAATGTCAGGACAAGGCACTTGAGTTTTTTGCTGGGGGCAGTGGGGAGAGATATAAAGGGTTTAGGAGGTAAGAAAAGGTAGCTCATGTCGACAAGAAACAATCACCAGCATTTATTGAGGACTTACTGTGTGTCAGGCACTGCTCTGAGCACTTTACCTGAATTAACTTATTTATCCTCACTCATCCCCATGAGGTGGGTATTAATAGTATTCCCATTTTGCAGACAAGGGAAACTGAGGCACGGGGAAGCTAAATTGCCCAATAGCTCACAGCTAAAAAGTAGTGTTGAGCACAAGTAGGCACCCAAGAGTCTGTCGAATGCCTTCTTGCCTTCCTTGAGTTTCTCTCCTCCATTTCCCCAATGCCCCAGGCCCACCATTTCCATGGTCGAAGGTCAGGGTGAGAAGAACGTGACCTTCTGGGGGGCACCACGGGCACTGTGCGACGAGCTGCAGGGGCAGAGACTGGTGGTGGAGGAGAAACGGCCATGTCTACACGTGCCTGCCTGCAAAGACCCTGAGGACTAGAAGCTCTAACACTTCTCCCTTCCACTCTGACCCTCTGAACTCCCAAACCTCAATAAACCAGCCTCTTCGGGCTCTTCTAAGATTCCTTAAAGGGGGAAAAGCAACCTACCCCTTCCCGAGAAGTGGGGGCAATAGCATCCTCTCGGGCAAAGGGCACAGCACGGGCAAAGTCGCAGCGGCCTGTGTGGAAAAACAGTATTTCCACTGTGGCCGCAGTTTGGCAGGAGGGGAAGTGTCCAGCCGCTGCTGTGACCCCAATATCTGGGCCCCCAACCCCGCTAGTGCCCTGGGGCCGCCTGGCACGTCCCTCTGCAGAGCTCTGCGGTACGGGTTTCCTCATTGGCTACTCGTCCCGGCAGGCACTTCTTGGTTGGCTGGCGTGCTTGTTGTCTCCCCGCCTCCTGAAGCTCGCTAGGTTCCGCCCGCCTGAGCCTCTGCTGGCCGACTCCGCGTCAGTTGACCGTGAAAGGCAGCAGAGGCGTGGCCGGGGTTGGCGCCCTGCCGCGCGAGCACCTGCACCCACCCACTCCCAACAGCCTGGCTCCAACGCCGCAATTACGGGCGACAAATAGCTCGGCGAGGCGGGGGGCGGGAAGAGGAAGTGCTATGATGTGCTCTGAGCTGGGGCTGGGGCAAAAAGAAGCATCTGCCTGCAGGAGCCCCCAAGACAAACCCAGACATATATATCCTCTAGAACTTGTTCAATCATTCAACACTTATTAGCGTTTACTGTATACTTAAAGCTAAGTCTGGGCATCTGGGTTGGAGGAGGGCTGGTAGAAGGAGAGGACATCCGAGCAAGGGAACAGACTCAGAATAGTTATTCCTCTCGTTTGAACATCCATTCGACACTTAACGCCTACTGTATACTAACAATAGTGCTGGACATCGTGGGGAATAGGGAAGAAGAGGAATCAGAATGGTATGTGTCTCCACAGTGAAGGGGACAAACCCACATACCAGTGCTCTTAGCATTTGCTCATTCATTTACCACTTACTGAATGCCAGGCCCCTTGTAAGGAGACACATTATAAGAATCATCATCATAATTATGGTAATAGCTAATGCTTAGAAAAAACTGCGTGCCTAGTAGTGTCTTAAGGCTTTCCATAGCATGAACTCATTTAATCCGCAACCAACCTTTGAGGGTCAGTATTATTATCCTGATTTTACAAAGGAGAAAACAGGCACAGAAAGGTAGTAGGCTGGACATTTTTGAAGCACCATGGATTATGGTGAGGCAGAAGCAGAGTTCAGGACTTCGCACTTTGGTGAAGGGGACCCCTCTGTGTAGGAAGGTTCGGGTGGGAGGTTTGTGACACCTTAAGTCTGCTGGCATGCTCACTTGACTTCTCTGGGTTGCTTTCCCTTTATGTAAAATGGGCCAGTTGATGGGTGGATAAGTACTTGGTCATCTTGAGAGGACTGAGTAGTAAGGGGTTCTGGTTGCTACTATAGGATATAAGAGGTATGTGTTTACAAGAAAGCTCAGCTGTGTGTGTGCATTATGAGGTGCATACATATCTTTGTGTGTGTGATATGCAGACCTGCAGGGCTGTGCAAGAATTAAGGATGTATTGAATGTATGTGGAGTGTGTGTGAGGTTACAACTGTGTGTGCGCCACAACAATGTGTGAGTCATGTGTGTCTGTGCACACGCACATTAAGGTGGCATGGATATGTATTTATGTGTTATAGGCATGGGTACAATTCTGAATGTGAGCGTGTATATGTGTGTGAGATTTGTTGCCCACCAATGCACAACAAAATCATTCTTGGAGCCCCTTTTGTACACCCATTCCTGGTGAAGAAGACGGAGACTGTGCAGAGGAGTCTTACCTCTGCCTAGGTGAGTTGAGATACTCCTAGAAGAAATCTTCATTCCTCTATAATACAATCCACGAAAAAAATAATGTCTGGAAATTTGAGCCACTTGGAAAAAGGGAATGGTACTGGGAGCCACAAGTACTAGGAGCCTGGGAACAGGGCCCCTAGAAAGAGGCACAGTCTGGATCAGATTCCTGAGGAACACGAATTCAGACCCAGAGTAGCCAGAAAGACCTGCAGCTGCTCCTGTCCCCCAGAGAGGGTACCACGCCCTTCACAACTTGTTTACTTCCGTTAATGAGCAAAAAACTAAGGAGCACATACTTCAAAATGTTGGAAAATACCTCATTTGTGGGGAGTCCCCATTTGGAATGCCAGAGAGGGCATCCTGGAGGGAGGGGAAGGGATGGCGAAAACAAAGGCCTGGAGGTGGGACAGAAGCTGGCTGGGTTGGAGGAGGGAGTAGAGGATGGTTGGGGAAGTTTTTAATTTGGGGATTATGGGAGCCTAGGGGAAGAGGAGATGGAATCTGAGACCTGGAGATGGGGGGCTTCCTGGGTACAGTGGCCAAAGACAACCCTTGAGAGAGGGAGGGGAGAGGGCATTCCTGGCAGAAGTTACAGCACATGCAAAGATACAGAGGTTGCCCCTCCCCAACCTCTCTCCTTAGAGGTGAGTCAGAGGTATACCCTTTTCACACACGAGGAAACCAAATCTCAGCGGGATTAAGTCACTTTCCCAAGGGTATGGTGGAGGCCCGATTTGAACCCAGGCACTGTGACTCCAGACCACACACTATTACTGCCTCGTTTAAACTAGCCAATGATCTCATGAATGAAGAATGAACAAATGAATAAGTGGATGATTCATCTGAAAATCCTGCAGGCAAAAGAGACCCCCTACTTCTTGCTAATCTGCCACCTCACCTGGTCCACCATCGTCATTCACTGTGGCCAACGTCCTACCCAATCTGGCCCCTGCTAACCTCTGACCCTATCTCCTACAAAAGCCCCTCACTTTGTTCCAGCCACACTTACATTGGCTGTTCTCTCTTCCTGGCACATTCTTAAAAGAAAAAAAATATGTATGGATCACAAAGTGAACATAACCCTTTGGGAATGAATTGGAGTTCTCAGATTCCCTCATCTGTAAAATGGAAATTACATTATCCACCCCATAGGATTGTTGTGAAGGCTGGATGAAACGATGCATGTAAACAGCTTAGCTAAATGTTGGTTACAATCAGTCAACAAATGATTATTTATGAGTTTGTGCTTTTATTGTCATCAGGATCTTATAGGTTTGACAGGTTGGCTCCCACATCCCACCTCTGCCTGGACTACCTCATTTGTTCATGTGTAAACACTATTTGGCACCTACTGTATATGCACACTGCGATGGGCCTGCCTCTGTGGAAAGTTCTAAGGTGCAAGGGGAGACATCTATGGGCATTGATGACACCAGATGGTTATTGTGGGTTTTGGCTGTGTCCAGAGCAAAGGAATGGGGGCATATACACCAAGTGTGTTGTGGTTAGTGGGGGGGATAGACATGCATCAGGGTTAGAGCTACAGGGAATGTGTATTGCAGCTCTGTGTTTTTCCATGATCATCTGTGAGTATGTGTTTTGTCTGGGTGTGCACGCTCATGTGAGTTTCCCTTGGTCTGTGTGTGTCAGTGTGTTGTCTGTTTGTGTGTGTGTGTGTATAAGTGCATGCATGCCCATGCATGTTACCCTGGGCTTGCATGTCTGTATATACACCTAGATTGGTGTCTGTTTTCTGTCTGTACGTGTCCCTATGTGTTTCCTTACTTTTGTGTGTGTGTATATGTATCTCCGTGTGTGTCATTCCCTGTGTGCCTCCAGGCCCCCCGACACCCTGGGCAAGAGTGTGTACACCGCTCAAGTGTCCGCCTCCGCTCGTCTGATGCTGTCTATGCCGCCCCCGCTCTCTGCCTAGCTGAGCCTGTGTGGACGTAGGAGACTGATTTACCCGCGGGGCACTGCGTGTGACCCCACCCCTCGCTGCGAGGAGGTTACTTCTCTAGTTTTGTGTCTCTGAGTGTGCTTCCACCCCCACCCCCACCCCCGAAATGCCTTCTGCGGTGAATGTCAACACTGGAAACCAAGTGTCTGCGGAGGGCCCTGTGTATGGGTGCGAGTGGGTATGAGGACCAGGATGAGGCGGGCTGGCGGGTGGCCTGCCTGACTATCGACCCTGACCCTCCAGAAAAGCACCCCACCCCCACTCCCCAAATTGCGCATCCCCTATCAGGGGGGGGAGGGGAACCAGGATGCGGCGTGGCGCGTGCGCATTTCCAGCTTCAGCACCGCGGACAGCGCCTTCGCCCCCGCCTGCCGGCGCGCGCCACCGCCGCCCCAGCACCGAAGGCGCGCTGACGTCACTGGCCGTTCCTCCGCAAACTCCCCTTCCTGGCCGCCTTGGTCGCGTCCGCGCCGCCGCCGGCCCAGCCGGACTGCACCACGCGAGGCGCGAGATAGGGGGGTACGGGCGCGACCATCCGCGCTGCGGCGGCGGCGACCAAGCGCTGCCTCAGTCTGCGGCGGGCAGCGGAGGAGTCGCGTCGTGCCTGAGAGCGCGGCTGTGCTCCCGGGCCCCGCGCGGTCCGCCCCCGCGGCTCTGGCCAGATTGCCCCTAGGACCCCCTGCCCCAAGCCGCAGCCATGAACTACCTGCGGCGCCGCCTGTCAGACAGCAACTTTATGGCCAATCTCCCGAATGGGTACATGACAGACCTGCAGCGCCCCCAGCCGCCCCCGCCGCCGCCCGCTGCCCCCAGTCCCGGAGCCACGCCCGGTCCCGCGACCGCCACTGCCGAGAGGTCCTCTGCGGCTGCCCCCGTGGCCTCTCCAGCTGCCCCTAGCCCCGGGTCCTCAGGGGGCGGTGGCTTCTTCTCGTCGCTGTCCAACGCGGTCAAGCAGACGACGGCGGCCGCGGCCGCCACCTTCAGCGAGCAGGTGGGCGGCGGCTCTGGGGGCGCAGGCCGCGGGGGCGCCGCAGCCAGGGTGCTGCTGGTCATCGACGAACCGCACACCGACTGGTAAGCCACTGCCGCGGACGTCTCCCCGCGGGCCTGGGCCCCCAGATCGTTTGGCGGCAAACGAGCAATTATCGAGCGCCGTTTGTGTACCTGGCACTTGGCCCTCTCACCCAAATTCTTTCCCTTTAAATTATTGTTCTGGGCGCTTCCTGTGTGCCCCACCCTTGTCCCCCCAACCAA